GTAACGGAAGAAAAATGAGGAAGGGTTTTTAAATTAGCCAGGAGAAGATCGCAGAAAATCTTATAACAGATGGGGAACTTTCTTTAGCCGGGGCTCTAAATGACAAATCCCCTGTTTTTTACTTTATAACTACTATAAAAATGCCATAAAAAGCTTAATGGTTGGACAAAGTCATCCCGGCACTGAATGGCTCAGCAGAGTTTAGACTGAGCAGACAGGATGCAACAGGGCCTGAGTCCGTATCAGTGCTGGCACCCACTGGGGTCTTCGCAGAAGAGTGATTCATGCTCTACTTTCTCTTGGTTTTTGAGATTTTTTCTTTCACTCACCTGCTTATCTGTTATTTCCCTCTCTGACCTACTCACTCTTTTTGTCTGAGCATCCATTATCTGATTTGCCTAATCCCCTCTCATCCATTTTCCTCTAACAGATGAAAAAGGACATTTTGCTGTCTTTCATTTCTCTCTTGCTGAATAGCTAAACCTCAGACCTTGCGAATTTTTATATCTCCAGGAGCCAGACAACGATTCTCTTTGACTGAATATATTTTTTTCTTGTTTTTAATGCAAAATTTTTTATGCCACCTATGACGTGGACTTTTTCATGACTACAGGTCTAAAGAAGTGTGACAGTTGGCAGCTTTGGCGTTTAAAAAGTAGATATTGGCTGATGATTTCCACCCCTCACTTCTGAACTTGTTTGCTTTATGTTTGATTAAACAGTTGATCATTTATTATGAAAGCTTGGCTACCATGTCTCCTCTCCAATGCTTTCTGCCCTGCCAACTGGTCCTGCAAAATCCAAGATTCAGCTGCCAAATCTTTCCATCTTGACCACTCCTTTTTAATTTTGACTTTAGACTCCCCTCTGTTACCAGTCATCATCCTGTCTTATCCTTAGAGTCTCTGGTCTTGATGACAGACAGGCAGACTAGTAAACTGAGTTTGGACTGCCAGTCACCAACAGGGTGGCACAACAGGCTGCCAGGTGAAGGCAGCCACCTGAGGGGGTTCTGTGTTCTGACACCTCTATTAACCTTCATGAAATGTCCATCCCCCGTCACACCTCAGCCTCCTCTCCTTCCAGCTCATCCATATCTTCACCACCTCCTGTTACCCTGAACGCTGTTCTCTGGAAAGAATAGAGATTTCTATGTCCCCAGAGCTAAAGCGTCAAATATAAAATACTTTTATTTTCTCCTTGTCCTTCAGAAAAATGCTTCAGTTTTCTATTTTTCAAATTTATGTCGCAGTCTTTGCATAACATATGTGAGTGTTTCAATGTTACGTTGTCTTTCTTTTTCTGTCATTTTGGCTCCTCAGCATTGCATCCACTATTCCTGCCATGCCCTGAGAATGTTTACCGCTAATGCAGTGTGCTTGATTCAGCGCAGTCATGCATAGCTAAATAGTGGGAATGAACAACCTTCTCTTGTCAATCACCCAGAATAATGGGAGTTAATGAAAATTAAATGAGACAGATGGAACCAGGTGTACACATGACTGATACATCTGCCCTTTTACTTTGATGATAATTCAACACACCTTTCCGTGTTACTTCAACTAAAGCATGGAAGTATTTATGACAGCTCCCATGTAGGTCAGCAGCCAATAATCTTTTTCTCCTTGCCTGTCTCTCTCTCCTTCTCATTTTTACCCTGAAGGAATTTTCTGGACGACGTGGCGGACCAACAAGTCAACTTGGTTTTTCAGTCTTTAACAAAACTCCTCTCTTCTTGCAGGATTTGTTGCTAAGCCTCAACCGCTCCTGGCAAGAGAACTGTGACCATGCGCCCTTCGCTAGTACTCCAGTAAGTGTACACAACTTGCACACAGACATAATAATAATCCAAGGCAATACACTTACATTATATTGTCGTATTTCACAGGCTTAATTGCTAAATTATGATGCAAAAGTGCCACTAAATGGAAATGAATCAACACTAAGTGCAGTTAATTGTTGTATTTGCAGGTGGTGCTCTGAGTAGTTGTCATTTCCCAGACAGCGCATTAACAGAGATGCTAAATTGGCCTCTACCTTGCAAAAATTGCTTGGAGGAAATGCAGAGCTAGAGAGCAGCCTCCCCTCACAGCATCCCTCTTAAATATTTAAATGGCTTAAAAACAGCCTCAAAGAGAGAAGTAACAGTTTACTTTGACTCACTTATAACAAATAAAACATTGTAAGCAACTCAATGGAAGCTGCCTTTTTCCTGAACAAACTCATGCAAATACAGTCGAGAATTATCAGCATGATCCTACTCACTGTCGGTCCTTCTTACGGCTAGACTCGGTCACACATTTGTCCAGAGGTGCCACCATAGACTGTATATACTGAGGACAACTTGGTTCTACCTTCCGCCAGTATACGGATTTGAATCCAAAAAGCTTTCAGTAATTCTGCGTTTTTTTCTCCATTTTCCGAAACCAACATTCCGCAGTGGCCTTGTACACTCCACCACTTGCGCAGTAGCATTGTACGCATTTGGTGGGAGAGTCGCCAAGTGCTGCAGTCATGACGCTCGGCTCAAATAGCATATCCCCCGGGTTATCTACACAATCCTTGTACGCTCATAGGCATATCCAGTGTCAATCATAGAAAACATGAACCCCTCAATAACTTTTAAAAATGGAGCTGTACAGAAAAAAGAGGACTTCAGCACAAACCAGTCTTATTATAACTACATGTCAACATCACAAGCAGGGGGGAGAAAAATTTATGTTCTGTGTAATAAGTTTCTAAAGTTTGTCCACAACTCCATGAAGATTGCTGGAGAAGGTGGGATTTATGACCTATACTGCAGCCTGTCACCAGAGGGTGCTGTTCTCGTGGTGGCTTCACCCAGTGAGGAGTCAGACGCTGTCCGTTCTATATACAGTCTATGGGTGCCACTCATAAAAACAACAATCTCTCTCCAACTTCAGGATCATGGAGAGCAGAAAAGAATATTTAATACAAAATCAATAAAGATTATTGCTTTCTAAATACCATTAAAGTTGTTTTTCATTCCCTATTAAATTTGAAAGAAGTACAATTGTGCTAACAGTTGTATGTCATTGTAGAGGTAGACCACTCTGAATGGTTTTTCTACATGATCTTACGCATGAACATTAAGTCTAATTGATACACTTACACGCTTAATTTCCTTTAGATGATCAAACCATTATTTTCTTAAACCTATTTGTTTTTGTTGTTTGCAATTATTACATACAACATGTTAGATACAGTAAGACAGAGCATCTGTGTGCTGCGTTTTCCCCCTATCAGTTTCATTAGAGCTCAGGAATAAACAAGTCATTGGAGAATAAATCGTTAACACGTTTGAAGTCACGACAAATGGATGAATCCAGTCACTGTCTTCTGCTTCACTGCAGCCAGGTGGTAAAACAAGTCAAGAATAGTTTGAATGTAGTAAAAAAAAAAGAAGTGTGGTCTGTTCACAGCAGGTCACTAAGATACTTGTGAGCCTGCAGCAATTAGGACTGGTGACTAATCAGCTAATAACCAAAGAGAATAAAGGCTGATGAAGGAAGAGCAAGACAGTGATTAACACATTTAGACATGCACATAAGCTGTCTTTTCATTAACAGTAATTAGGTCTGTAACTGTGGGGCTCATATGTTGCAGTTGTCTCAAACATTTATTTTCTCAACAACACCTTAAACACATACACATGCCCACCCACACACACTCAAGTAATTTATCTTGTTTGAAACAAATAATCAGTTGTGACACAATGTATGATTGTTTTTTTATATATAAGGAGCTCCTGTTAGCACACATAGACAGAGTGGGCTTTCTTGAGAGGAGGTGCTTTGCCAAGATCGACCGCTATGGTTCTCTTTATGAAGGTGGTATAAAAACAACACCTGCAAACAGACTTTAAGACCAAGACACTTCTCTTCAATAGATTTGGAAATGTGAGATCTAACATCTCTTTTTAGGGTAACCATGAATTGCCAACTTGGATACAAGCAGATAATGCTAATGTATTTTGGACAAGTTCTCTCTCCTCTAATCAATACACACCATGGCCTGAGAAAAAAAAAATCAATATCCTGCTCCGTTTTACCAACTTTTACACAACTTTTAAAATTTACAAAAGGTCGAGACCTGTTGAGCAAGCCTGTCTGATGAATTCCTGATTCAGTGTGACTCAGCATACTAAGAAGAAGAGATATCTGAGATGAGACGACACTGGTGAAATCTAATCAGAATCACAGTTTAAACATTTTGCATCACCGTTAATGATGTGACTTTTCTGCTAAGATGTTATCCCCATGTGTGAAACCTAAAGAGCTTCAAGTGTCTACTAAAAAGCTGTTTGCCTACACCATATAGTTTTAAATGGCCAGTTTACCAATTACTGGCTGTGGTACAGTACACTTTCGCAAACTACAGGTACTCTTGTTGTTCTCTTTGGTTTTTAAAGTTTAGCATCCCTCAAGTTATCTCTCAGTACTGAAATACTGTATATCCAGGGCTCTCTGGATGCTTAACAAAGATATAACACAAAGAACCCCCACACTCTCCTCTTCCAATGCAGGACGTCATGAATTTTAATCAAATGTACATAGCTGGGTGCAGAGTTTGACACAATGAGTCTGTTTGTAGTGGGGGATGAGAGGATAAGGTTCCTTTCTCACTGTTTCCTGGCCCTCCCTGAGAGAGGTGGGCAGTAATTGGAATGGTCAGGGTGTGCCAGCTTCATTGGGGATGAGAGAGGGAAGGACAGGGTCTCTCTGAGAAATTGAAGGAGGGAGAGAGAGAGAGAGGGAGAGATGGATTCAATGCTGTCAGCAGATCAGAGTCTCTCTAATGATCTAATGGAATAATCTCTCTGCCACTCTGGGGATACGTTAACCCTTTACTGACAACTAACCACTGAAATGTTACACTCCCAGTTTGTGTGCTTTGAGATTTTGTGGCTCATGTGTGAATTTGTCAGTGCTTGTGGATGCATAAAGTATTCACTCTCTTTGCTCTGTCTCCCCGCGCATGTCTCTTCGGCTCCGCTCTTTGATGCGGTGTACGCGATGGTGGCAGCTATCCAGGAGTTGAACCGCAGCCAGAATATCAGTGCCACTCAGCTCTCCTGCAAGTCCTCCAAGATCTGGGAGCACAGCACCAGTCTGATCAAAGTCAAGGATAGGAAGAGTACCTCTAATGGGCGAAACAGCGCTCACCTGAGGTATTTGGGGAAATTTAGTCCTGTGTGGTCTTGAAGAGGACAGTGACCAGCTTCATGCTTTTACAGTACAGACAAGCTTCCACCAGCAGCCATTTATGGGGGGTACAAATGAGCTGTCAGTGAATAAAATGTTTCAAGTCATAAGAAAAAATGGTTCCAAGTGATGTGCTATCCAAGTACTTAAATCCGTCATATGCTTAATATCACGTTAGTCTTTTCACTTATAGTAAAATGATGTGATTTATGGCTCCCCTAATTGGCAGTATACTGAAGAGACAGTAGTTATATCCTTGTGTTTTCAGTCTAAGCCAGACATATTTCAAAAGACTCACACAAAGTCAGTCATGGCATGCTAATGTGGCCTGCAGTCATATTGAGGATGAGACGAGATCAGCAATGTTTCCTACCCAGGGGTTTTAACATGTCTCTCTCTCTCTCTGTTAGACAGGTAGAATTGGAGGGTCTAACAGGCCACATTGAATTCAAGGCCAGAGGTTGAACTACACCCTTAGGATCATGCGGAACAGCAAGGAAGGCCTAAGGCAGGTAAAGTAACTCACAGCCTGACAAATATTTTTCCTGATATTGTAAGTTTCAACATCAGCACCAGCTCCAGTGTTAAGTTCACGAGGGCAGCCCGAAAGAATGTTTGTTTGAATAGAGCTGTATTTCCTGAAGTGACTCAGCTCCATTTTCCCCGGCCATAATACACTTCTTATTGTTGAACACAAAGCTTTTGAGCACTGTCCTGATCTCAGCAGAGCTCTCCTGCTGTCAAATGTTTCAGCTGTCGTCTTTATGGCAGAGATGTAAGTTGAGCTGGATCTACACGAGGGAGCCTTAAGTTTCAAGGTTCTGAGGTGATAAAACCAAATAGTAGGGCATATTTTTACGGAAAATAAAGATTTTTTTCAGATATAACATACTGACATTTACAGCATTTTCAGATTTTTCAACCTTGTCTCTAACTTTAAAAACAAAAATGTTATACTCTAAAATCAATTCAAATTTAAAAGATTTCTTGATACAGAGGCAACATTAAACCTTAATGACTCTGATTGCCATTTTCAAAGTATGTAGTGCCCTGTTCTTGTCTCCTAATGGGACATCATTAGAGCAGGTGATAACAACAAAGATAACAAGACTGTCATGGAGTTGTAGAACAGAGTCGCTAATTGTACACACAATCCAGATGAGCTTCTGAGGGGGGCAGCTATCACTGTTGTTCCCACTATGAGAACCAGTAACTCTGAGTTAAGCTCGACATGAAAATTACACTGCAGCCAAAACTGACTGTGAAAATCTCTTTCCCCAAAATGACTGACAGATTCCTTTCCCTCCATCAGCAGCATCTCAGACTGCTTCAATGGAGCCGAAACCATCAGGAGGAGTGAAACTTAGTGGTTTATTACTCAGGTAATAAAAACAGGTGTGTGTGTGTGTGTGTGTGTGTGTGTGTGTGTGTGTGTGTGTGTGTGTGTGTGTGTGTGTGTGTGTGTGTGTGTGTGTGTGTGTGTGTGTGTGTATGTGTGTGTTTGCGTGATATTGGAAGAGAAGAGACATCAAAAAGAGTTTGTTTTAATAGTTTAAAGTCAAAGTAAATGAAGCTCTTTATGAAAAGTGAAAGGCAGCTAAAGTTTTGTTTCATTTAATGATGTTTTATAATATACATCAATTTGTGTTATAACTCTTTATTTATATATTTATGGAGCTTTATATATATTCTCTGTATCTCTGTGTAACTACAGTGTAGATGACCCATGTAAGGTTTCTTCGGTTTTCAGTTAAATACTGCAAAACTACCATTAAAAGTACAAGAGTCATTTCAGAGCAACATCAGGACAAATTTTTGTCTAAAATCACATTTGCAAACTCATTTGCGATGTTGCTGTCTATTTTACTTCATGTAGACTCTCCAACAACACAAGGTGTTCTGGTTCAACGGGTGACCTTGTCAACTGGCGACTTCCAGCCTGCCAGCAGGGTCACTCCTGAAAACAAAACTTGGGTGGTCTTGTCTTCCTCATCAGGGTTATTAAACATTCTGTTATTGGCGAGCCAACATTAGCAAATATGGACAGTAATATCAACTTTTGCTCTTTAAGTGGTGCCAGACCCATCAGCCAGTTTGTTTTCAATTTTTCTAGCAGGTTTGACCAGTGGCAGGTCCACCAACCAGATCACAAGATGTTGAATCTGTGTTAATCTATTTGCTTGTAGATCTGTACAATCCCTTACAGAGGCGATTTCATATCTCATCATTACTAAAGCATCATGCAAAAATTGTATAAATTGAACGGCTCTACACTTATTTGCCAATGTGAATTGGTTTAACAGCACCAGACTAAGTCAGCAATACATAAATTATCTTCTCTCCTGGTGTTTATTTTTAATTTTTGTACATGTGCTCCAAAATCTCTCTTTTTGTCTATCAACCAGGCTGCTATTTGTCCAACTATCACAGTCAGTACAATTTAGGAAGTGAGACACTGTTCAAAGACATGATAAGCTTGGTGTCACAAGAAGATGACTGCTGTAGAAATATGGTCTGTTACATTGTTTGCACCCAGGCTCTTGTAGCACCAAGATGCTTGTCTACCATGCATGTAGACAAAAACATTCGCCCCTTGCTCTTTATCAGCTAAACAAAATGCTTTTTTTCTTTTATCTGTGCTCATTCATTGTCTCCGCCTCTTCACAGCTTTCAAACAATAATAGGATAACATCTCACTTTCCACTTTCAGCACTTAAACCCCGTTTTCCATAAATTCCAGGTTTAAATGTTTCACTTTTTATCTTAGGGCACAATGTTTGATGTGAGGCGATAACCATAATCCTTCAAGTTTGTGCTTTTTACGGCATTGAAACAAAATAAAAAGTCTTACCCTGAAAGCAGATGATCTTTCTGACCCTGAATGACACTGCAGTTTCTTCTGCTGCCTGATCATTCCATTTTTCAGTCAGCACAACATTATAAGTTCCACATGACTTTAACATTTAACCACAAGACATTCATCTATTTTTGCGATATGAGGTGTGTTTGGGATTCTTTTCCAGAGCATTTGAGGAACTTAAAGTCAAAACATTAGACACAACAAGAAAAACTTAAATTCTTAAAGAGACAGATTTCGGTTTTGAAAACTTTGGACCCTTTCAATCAAATAGATCGAGTTTTTGCCTGCATGTTAGAAAAGTCTCACCAAAGCAGGGTCAGACAGCTGCCATCAGCCTTTATTATCCCAGTCTGCTTCTCCTCATGTGCCCTCTTTATTCTGGCTCTGGGCCAGGCAGCAGAAGGATAATGCTATCAGGTTTAATGCTGTGATTTCAAATATATGATTATTATAGAGTATTATAAAGTAGTCCTGCCAGTTACAGTAATGGAGGGAGGCAAGGAATGAGATGTGGGGCGAGATGGGGGTGTTGTTTGTTTTGTCGAATAACACCTCCCACATGCCGTTAGGTTGGGGCTGTTGTAGACAGACAGACACTGGAGGTGCCAAGGCCTTGGCAGAGATAAACAAAGTGGCTCACTACACACACAAACACACACACACACACACACACACACAAGCAGCAAAACAGTGCCAGGATTTTGAAGCATATTTGCAAATGAACATATGACAAGCTGGTATGACAGGTCTTTTGTTGTGCCAAAAATGAGCAGAGGTACCATTATCAACAAAACCTCACATTGTGTCTTACTAGTCAGTGTAAGTTAAAGGCGTCTGAGCTTCGAAATAGAGCTTGAAAGAGACAGGAATGTCCATCAACCTCTTTCATTCAAGGGAGAGGAAGGAAGCCCGTCGTACACAGCTCCTGACCTCCATTCCTTTCACACACTTCCTCTCTTTTCCCTCAGTCGATGTCACCCACCACTCCCTCATCTCAAGCCCTGTGGTTGCGTTATAGATCAACCCCTCAAGGGTTCAGCACCCTACAGCCAATCACTGTTGAAAACTGAAAATCTCCAGCAGGCATTCCTAGGCATTAACATATTATCCTGCTGCTCTATCTGCTCCACTTTCTATTTAAACTATTTAAAAGTATCTGCTTCCCTGTCTGTCTGTCTTTGATTTGGTCACTGTATTTTTTTTTTTTCTGGATAAGTTTATTCTGAACCTTCAGTCATTTCATATTGGTAGAAATGAGCTCTGGTCATTGCGTACATCAAGGTCTGACAGGGTATTTAACGTGAAGCAAAAGTAATTAATCCTTAATTTTCACAATGGTCATAACACCAGTAATGATAATAGTCTGGATGAATGAGAAGGCGGGCACAACCCCTCCATCATGTCATGACACATTATCTAATTAATGATGTTTTAGACTGTGTATAACAAAACCACTGACTGCTCAGTGATTTTGGTAAAACAAAAGTTCTTAGTATTCAGGCCATTCATGTGGGTGATAAGCCAGCTGTTCAGTGACCAGTAAATATTTTTCAGTGATTTATAATTTAAAATTGGGCTTCATGAGCTCATTACATTTTTGATTCCACATATTCCCCCATTTTCTCCAGTTGAGTTGAGAACCATGACAGGCATAAAATAGTTTTAACACAGAAAAACATAAAACCATATTTATATTTCTCCTTATGAAGGTTATTCGGGCAGCTGTCTGCCCTTGTCAGTCACAATGGATTTCACTCTGACAGAGAGCACACATTTGGAGGTTGAAAGTTTAAGACCAAGTTTCCAACTCCAGTCCTTCCAAAGCGGCCATCATTCCTCCTGCTGACATCAAAAACATCTTTACCAACCTGGAGGAGGTTTTTCAAGTGCAACACACACTCATAAACTTACAAACACACACTTGCACACACATACTTAAATCCATCAATCCTACTTATCTAAGCAAGACGGCACTTGAACCATTAAATCACATTTTAAAAAAGCCTCTGAAGTGAGGAAGTGACATGTTTGGGTAATAAATTAACAAGAATGTAATATATTAAACTAAACTGTATGTACCCAAAACACCCTCACATTTCTATCTCTTAACTGTCATATGTTTTATGTTCATGCAAATGCACACAAACTTGCTGACTGTCCATTGGTTCCTCTCCTTTGAATTTCACTTTCAATACCGGAGCAAATGGCAGCCGTCTGGAAGAGAAATGAGTCTTCAGTAATTGATCAGATAGGAGATGACTTGCTCTCCTGGGTGAGTACAATTCTCAGGCTGAGATTGTATTTCCTCCTTTCAAACATTTTCTTATATTGAATGAATCTCGAGATGACTGATGTGGTTTGGGGAAAACTGTTGTGCACATTGGAATTGAACTGTTCTCCTGAATTGCTTTTTAGTCAGAAAAATGTTGCTGGTGTGAAGCTGCATTTATTAGCCTCAGTTCCCCTCATATTCACAAGTTATATAAAATACATTCATCTGGACATACATAAAATGTACGTTTACAACACAGAGGCATGATTTTTAGCTTGCTTAAAATGAATTTCAAAACTTTGACCAAATCCCTGAAGAGCAGAAACCTCAGACATGAAATAAAAGAATAAGGCGGAGGCAGGAGTGTGATATGAAACCCTGACTCTCAGTAAACGGTTTTGTCAGACAGTGCTTTAGGTTTCATGGGCCTCACTGCATCGGTTTGGTATATTAGATGTGTAGTTGCCACATATCTGCTGACAGCCTTGTCTGAAACATTACTATTGAGGATAAGTAGGGTAAACAGTCCCCTGAGGGTCCAAGTATTGACTTAGCCTCCATCAAAAGTGAAGTGGTCTATTGTACGATGAAGGAGTTAAACCTGGCAGTCGCTCCTCTTGGTTCTTCTTTAAGACAAAGCAGAGGAAGGACTCATGCTTTACATGTGCTCCAAACTCAGTCAATATTTACACTTCACACTTTTTTTGTTTGTTTGTTTGCATGATTCATTCAAGGAAATCTGTCTCTTTCATGTCTTTTGAGAAGGTAGAAAGGAACAAATTGTTTCCCAGGCTGCATTTTCTGATTTTGAAGTGGGGAGTTATGAGGTACTTGTCAAAGTACTACCTCATATTACCCACAGGGGATACGGGTCAGTTAAGCCCCTTTTGCTGAGAAACAGGCTGGAGAACCAGCACCAGAGCTTTGCCAGAAACTGCTGCAGGTATCAACTCAATTGTGTAGCTGATTCTAAGAAACTCTGACAGAAATACTTGTGTAATTTTGGAAAAAGAAAAAAATCACGCTTGACAAAAACTAGAGGTACGATGTGTTGAAGCAAAATTTAGAGAGAATCAAGGAAATCACACTGACATGAAGCAAAAATAAAATAATAAAGAGAAGGCTAAATGGTTCTCAGGTGATCTCTGTATAGAAAGACCATGACAAACAAATTGGTTTAAGAATGAGAGAGTTTGAGGGTAGTACGCTGTCATGCATATAACACTGTTACCTCATTATATGCTAGAGATAATGCATTGTTTCTGTGAGACTGGAGCTTCATATATTCAAAAGTGTGGGAGAAACTAATAAAATGTATAAGGTCAACACCAGAAGCAGAGACATAATGTTCCTTTCTCAGATTCTCTTTGGTTCAATGTTAATACTGCTGCTTTGTGATGGTTTGTTCAGTAGTCTGTCTTACTAAAAAAAGAAAAGAAACAGAACATTGAGAGCATGGCAGCAGGTACGATTAATACTGTCAGTAAAGCACCTATCTGTCATTATTTCTGTACACACGTGAAGCTGTAATGATGTTATATACCTGCAGGAACATCCTCAGAGCAAGCTGCTTCTAATGGACATGGTTCCAAAAGCTGCTCTCGCTCTCCTGCAGTTTTATTCAGACACTTTAAAGTTTGCTCCACTCAGTCACAAATACTTTGTGAATCGCCGAGTCCATCAAAGGGAGCTAAATTATAATCGACTTTCAGAGGTGACAGTTTAAAACTGAGACCGCTCTTCACACGCATTTATATTCTCCTGGCCTTACAACTAAGTAATCAGCCCAGTAAATCTTTCTGGCTGGTTTTACAGCTTTGTTGCACCAATAAGTGATTTATGATTAAATTAGTTTTTCTCTCCTGAGATCTTTAAATCAACCAGATCCTGTGAGGCATTAGATTCAGTGTGGAAACTGATTCACTCAGGTTGCTATTATCTTAATAAAAAAAAACACCACAATTCTCTTTGTACTTGATAAAACACAACGGCTCAAATCAGTGAAATCAACCCTGCAAGAAAAGTAGAAGAAAGATGAAGCAAGGTTGAGCGTGGCAGCATGCCAACCATCAGTGAATTACACAGACAAATGAAGGGATTAACATTTTAATGCAGCTGGAGGGGTGGTGCACATTTTAGGAAATGTCTGGCCCATTATTTGCTTCATTATTTTAGTCTTGGCTGGAGTTCTGGCCTCACACAGAGAGAGCACACTAAGGATAAAGTATAACCAGCCATTACAGGATCATAATGCCCCCCCTGCTTTATCATAATTTTTGAGAACGATGGTGTGTTAATGGGATGAAGAAATATCAATTTGCTGGACAGCCCCCTGCAGAACTATGGAGGCCTAACTCCTTTTTGATGTCATAATGTCTTTACAGAAAGTGCAGCAGAGAAGGACAAAGTGAAGCAGGCAGCAGACTGCTGTAGGAAGATCCTCCATCACATCCACCAGGCTGTGAAGGAATCTGAGGACAAGCAGGTGTGCTGTTCCTTAAAATCCCCTTTCTGTTTTATACCATCCTCTAAACTTTCCCCGTCTTTCATTTCTGTCTCCTCTTAAGTCCTTCCTTCTTTTTCCCTCCTGCTTCTGCTTCCCGTTCAGTTATTTCTTCTTAAAGTGTGCCTACTTATCCTCTTTCTGTCTCCACTTCTTTCTGTCAATTTTCCTGAGGGAATATAAGAGAAGACTGGACCTCTCCTCTTTAAAGCAGACAGGCAACCCCATGATCCTTGAGCTCAAGGCGAGCTATCCGCTCAGATATTAGTTATCATGATCTTGATGGAGTCACACAGGTATGAATCTCACAAGGAAACCTGGTGTCTCCACTCTATCCTGCCAGATAACAAGTCCTCCACATATCAGAAAACAGAGCTGACAGCACTCACGGTCTCAGATCCCGATCTATAAGCCTACACATTTTTATTCCATTGATTGATTAAATTCTTACTGTTCTGTTTGTAAATGGCCTACTGACTGTTTTTTCTTCTAACAGGGTGGCAGCGTTTAATCACCTAGACAGCAGATGCCATAAAAGTGAAACCTCTCACTGTCACATCATCGCTTCACACTGAGTTTGTCGCTTTATTGTCGTTCTAATTTGATTCTCAGAGCTGCAACTTGTTACTGATTCAAAATGTTGCTTGTGTGCCAGCAGAGAGAGAGAGGATGGGGTGGAGATAATTAAAAGCAGGTGTTTCCAGGCTGAGAAAAGACCCAGCTAACACATCCACTGGTTGCACCCAACAGCAGACAGCAATGTCTTTAATTTTCCTGTCTGAACAGCTCTACTTAACTGTATCGATAATCCTCTTAAGATAACTGTTTTAATTCCTCTTTAGATAAAGAGAGGAGTCCAGCCTCGAGACATGCGATACCTGCTTCTTTATTTGGTACTAATTTCTTAAAGGAAGGGAAGGGAAAGCAGTGGAAGAGGATGAAGAGAAAGTTCTGTGAAGCTTTAAGGCCATAAAGAAGACCTGTTTCCCAGCAGCTCTAAGGAAAGTGTTGTTGACCCAGCTGATAACCCAGGGGGCTGCAGAGGAAACGAAACTGCCCATATGGGTCTCTCTCTTTGGGATAAACTCCAGATAAACATCGAATTCCTTAAAGTGGAGGTCAAACTGCAAAAGTTAGGAATTAGGAAAGGTTCGATGGTGGCTTAGGATCCTCTTGGCTGGAATGTAAACATCTACATAACATTTACAGAATTCCAGCTCTATGTTCCTGTTGCATTTTTTCCTCCTCCTCGCTAGCCACGTTTACATAGGCGAAATTTCTTGATCCGATAAAGATTTGAGTGATCGGATAATCTGACTCCACGGTTTATGTCAAATAATCCAATCATGACATGCCTATACATGTACCAAGCTTTATTCAGATTAGAAGCATTTGGGCATGCACAGAGTTGTCTGATTTCGCTAAAACAACCGCAGAAGAAGAGTTGTATTTACACCTGTGCTGTCAACTAACCAACAAATGCGGTAGTGGCTCACTCCATCCGTGTTAGGTTTTCCCGCTGTTAAATGTTGTCACTAGATGGCGCCCTTGCTAACTTATTTTACTGTTCTATCAAAGGTAGCACTGTGCATGCAGATGTGACATCATTACATTGTATGTACGTTGTGTTATGTTACCAGAGGAGCAGACATGGTACCTGCGGTTGTGTTTTATGCCAGAGTGTTAATAATGAAACCTCCTGTACTCGCCTCAGTAAATAAGCAAAAGGCTAAACGGTGAAGGTCGAGTCAGGTAAGAGAGTCACGATCGGAATAAGTGTTTACATGGATGCATTTCGGAAAAACAATCGGCACAAACCACCCCTCTCGATCGGAATACAATTTCTCTCCGATTGAGCCAAACCGGATCAGAATCTTTCTATCGACATGTTTACAGGACACATTTTTATTCCGATCGGGCATTTATTCCGATTATTTGTGCCCATGTAAACGCAGATACTTCTGTGACATGTATTTTGTCTCCTGTCCGCTCCTCTTTTTCCTTTGTATTTGATTCTGCCGCTTCTTTCCTCTCTGAACACATATGGGTGTCATGCTTTTGCTTTTCCTCACACTTCAGTGGCTTTCATGCTTATTTATCCCCGCCCACACTCTATATGTCATGCTGCTTTGTTGAGGCCCTTTCTCCCTTCTTGCGTGAGGAGTGGTCTGTGTCAGCTGCTTCTTTCTGCCGCTGCTGTTAGCAATGCTGATCTGACTGCTTGACACTCTAAAACCGTCATAAGGTTCAACATTCACTGCTAAACGATCAAGTTAAACAGCAGGATATGACTTTGATAACTAATTGTTGCTGTGACAAGTTGAAAAATTATAGTTTCTGGTGCATGTTCATTTTTCTCTTTAAAACTTTGATAATTTAGCTAATTATCCTGCACGCACAGAGCAAAATAACAAGGGCTCTCATGCCAGCAAATGTTAAAAAATTCACTGACCAGTGTGTGTCACATAAGAAATATAGTAGGCATATATTTCATGCCCAGAGCAACAGAAAATATCCTGCATTAAATCCAACAGGAAGTCAGCTGCATAGATTTTAGTTTGAGGCTGTCTCTTGGCAGTATATACACAGAAGTCCTACATTCAGCCCAAGAATTTCAATTTATCAACCTCAAACTTTGTGTACAAGAGACTTAAAGAGTTAAAATTGTGCAGTATGACTTTATATGATCGTTGCTTTTTTCAGTTATACTTTATTTGATGAAACAGCTGCAAGGAGTGTCCAATTAGGACCAAGATAATGTCATTTTCTGTCTATTATAGTATTATCTATTTACTTAGAAATACATTTGATTACGTTGCAAATCTCTTTCTTACCTTAACAATCATTTAACAACCTGCTTGTTTTGTTAAAGTCAAATGCATCTGTCTCCAGAGTGTGACTCATGAACATTTAAAAGATGGCCACTCTATTTTTGGGACAAAATGAGCAATACAAGACACTGTTCAGCAAAAAGAGGGTTAAAATTTCAGGCACATCAAAGGATTTCAACCCATTTTTCTTTGACAAGTGAAGCCAAGAGTTTTTTTCTTCAAACTTAAGAGAAGAAAAGGTCTCTGTAGTACTGACTATCACATGAGTGAGTAATTTTCAAAGCAATCAACACAGTGGTTAGATTTAAGGATGCAAGGGAGGGTTGTGATCATTGCCAGCAGGGGGCAAACTTTCACTATTGATCATGAAGTCAAAAAGGACCTACCCTTAGTGACATTAGTGTTTTAAATAACCCACAGACCCTATTGATTTTTTAGAGACAAACAGCTCTGTTTGGACAAATTCAGAGTAAGACAACAGATGTATGCAGTTCTCCTCAGAGCAGAATAAAAAGGATCCTGCTGCATTCACACGACCTTTTGTACAGCTTCCTACCATAATGGAGACACATCATTGTAATGCTCGGTAATAATTTTGCTTGGTATGTTTGTACCAGGAAAACATTGAAGCACATGTTCCCTTTTCTTTTCCCTTCATTACCCTGACTGATGCAGTAAAACATAGTACAGGGAAAGAGAGGGAGAGAGAGGATGTGTTTTGAAGAGGCATTGAGAAGCCAGACAAGGTTTGAATGGGAAAAGAGTAAAAAGAGACCATAAATTCACAACAAGAAAGAAAAAAAAAGAGGGAAGGGACAGAGTGCAGCAAAGGCTCACAGGAAAGGAAATGGTAATTCACTGTCTCGTTTCTCCACATGCACCTGTCGCCAAGCTAATTGGAGTGGCAAAGACAAAACGGAGAGAGGTGTCAGTCACATTGAAAGCTTTCAGGAGGGCAGTTCATGTCAAGCTCGGATGAGGTGAGCCTTTTTTTTCCCCTTCTACTCTTCAGCGATGTAACAAGCTTTGTCAGGGAGGGATAAAAGTGAAGCTTTGTTCATTTGAGGGAATCTGAAATCTGGTCCAATGTACAACCAAAAGCAAATGCATGAATTATCAATGTATTATCACTTTTTGTACCCACCCCTTCAAGTTGTGTTGTCTCTTTAATATGGTACCAAAATGGATCAGAAAGCAGTCACCCACGTTTTTAGATAATGAGCACAAGTTTTGAATACTTAGTCAGGGCTGAGACTCGAGTCAAGGATCTGATGTGTTTACCTGATTCTCTTCACCTCAAAGATCTGTGAACGGTGGATGATTATAGCAGAGCGTGTCATTACGCTTGTTGCCATGGGGCTTAATTTCAAGATAAGGATGCTTGACTAAATAGTTCCTGAGACAGGAAACTAACATTTTCCAAAGACTTGCTTTCATCCATATCCACACCAAAATAGCTGTGCAATCATCACAATCCAAAAAATGTGCATTGTACTGACCTGATGTTTCCTGACCATGTACATATACATACAGTATGTGCATGTCTCTGTTCTATAGAGTCTTTCATCAATATGCTAATGCATCTAAAAGTGCATCTATTACCATTCTAATGCTTCAAGTCCTATATATGTATTTTCGCACCAGCTTGCAGCACATACATGACTTCTTAGACGTGAATCAGACTCTATTGTTGCTGCATGGCTGGTTTTTATAGCCAGTGTTGTCACGGAGAGAAGAAATCAGTGTCGATCAGCAGCCGTGTTAAATTTGATGGTTCCACCTATCAAAACACACACAGGCAGGATGGCCCTCATTTCCTGTTTTGCAGGCTTCATTTTACAGGTTTGATGGCTGATCATCAATCCATGAAGCAGCAGCACGTACTAACACAGGATGCTGAGTTGCTGCTCATATAAAAGTTAAGTTCAAACATCAATGTGCTCGGCAAGATTGTGTGGGGTCAAACTTAAAACCAGCAAACACAAAAAACACTTTTTTCCCCCCTGAAAGTCCTTTGCAGCTTTTCTAGCAGAGTCGCAGTGGGGTTGTTTCACTGCACAATAAATCACTGCCTGGTTTCAAAGTGTTCATCAAAGACTATAACATTTCAAACAGGGACAGAAAATATTAATAACAAAATAAAATGCTGTGCCTCCAATAAGTAACAGTTGGATGAAAGTAAACAAGCTGCTCAGATGGTGTTTTATGGCTTGTGCCGTTCTCTATTATCTGGGGGGATGGGGATTAAAGATGCTCAGTACAAGATATTTCCATTCTACTCTAAACAATTGATTCAGATGTAAATTTTGAGAGAAGATCTAGAAATGTTTTCATACTTTTGAGAACAGCTCTGTCAAAAGTCTATATTCTCTCCAGCTGCGCCGTCAGATACATGTAATATTACTCAATCACTGACCTCTGATGATTCCATGTAACACAGTTACCTCAATTAAAACCTGCTCCCCAAATGGGGACTCCTGACCTTAAAGAATTGATTTCCATGCTGCAGGTCTCCCTCTTTCATCGAGCAGAAGCCAATATCTGATGGATTGGACTTAAGATCGATGCACTCTCTGCAGTCTGATTAATCCGTGGCCTCTCCTGAGTGATCACTGTCCCAAGCACAACAAAGAGCCAGGCCAAACATGGAGAGGATGTGCAAAGCTGATGGTGAGAGATGAATGAACTGACTCCTTCAAATATGTGTATAAATACATGCACCTAAAAGAACATACACTCATGTCTGCCGGTCCACATAAAGAATACCTGAGCATTTTCACAGGTTGCCGCTTTGGGGCTCTTCATAATGAACCTGTCCAATAATAAAAAGCCACCTGTGGCATGACTCAGCATTAACCCTGTCTAATTACTACGCCACACTTTGATGGAATATCTGTGTAAAAAGGCTCCCTGCAAGCCAGCTGGCATGGGGCACCAGATTCAGCCTGCTGTGAAAGAGAAACTAGAGACAGTACCGCCTAGCCCCTGAGCTGTTGAGCTGTGATCTGGGACTGGGCTTAACATAGCCCAGGGCTGCGGCAAAAATCGATAGCTCTTTTGGCAGGTATGTTTTTTGCTGATTTGGGTGACCGGTGGTGAAAAGGTACACAGCTGCTGTCCTGCCAGGTTGGTTCAGCAGAAAGTGGTTGTCAGATTTTAGCAACCAATGCCACACAAGCAAAAGGAAAAAGTGAAGAATGATACCAGAAAGGAAAAAAAAGTGTTTACAGCATCAGCGTGTTGATGGACAGATGGCTGGAATCAGCTGGCTGTGTCCTCTGGGCATT